GTTTGTTGAAGAAAGCTATACTTATTTGTTTAAAAATGAAGAATTTGTTTATAACAAATGTAATTGTTTAAGCTAATAATTTTTTTTAGGTTTTTGAAAAAATATACATATGATATAAATATTTATAGTTTAAAAAATGACGAAAATGTTTACAAATACAAAAGGAAGTTGATTATTGTTTATATAATTGTTAATAACAATGATAATTTTTAACTTTAAAATAATTTTTTACTAAATTAGACTTAAATTTAACCTTGTCTGCAAAAAAGCCAATTTTTTTTATGAAGAATGTCCGAAGTAATCTATTTGTTAATTAACATTGTTTGCAACAATTTAAATAAATTGTATTATGCATTATTAATTGTCCGGTGGTGATACTAGACTAATTTAAATTGATTTCGATCATGTGCAATGAAAAAATAAAAAAATAAACATGATTTTTTCTAAAAATATTGTAATTTGTCAATTTTTTGAGTAACAGGAAAAAAATAAACAAAAATAAAAATTCAAAAATCGACTCTGATGGATCTCTTAGTAATTTTAGACCAAGAACATCATTATCCGATAAAATTGGTAGTTTCTAGACAATTTTCAATAGTAAATTGTAAAAAAATTTCACTGTTCATCGCGCTGGAGTGCGCGAGCGGACGGACAAATTTTACTTATTACACTATATCTTTGGCAAACTTTTTCGGCCCATTTTCAGACTTATATCTTCTTTTAGGGGAAATCCCAAGCTTTCATTTGAGATTATTAAAAAGAAAATAAAAACTGCCGAACTTGCACAAAATTGCAAAAAACTATTTATTTTTAAAAATTTTTTCATAAATTTTTTTTTTTTATTAAATAAATAAAATATTTTAAAAGTACACAAAAAAACCTTTCCAAAACACTACTTACTTTTTTTAATCGAATAATTTAAGTAGAAACTACAAATGTTTAAAAAACGCATGTTCGAGTTTAAGCTGAAATTTCAACCCCCCACCCTTTTGATAGGGGTAAGGGGTTATGGACCTGTAAATTGGTGCAGTAACTTGTACCTACTAGGGTAACATATTTCCAAAGTATAAAGGAAATCCAAGAACTTTTTTTTATTTTTGGGGCAGTTCAGGAATAATGCCTCATATATGGGCGTATTCCTGGTAAAATTTGGAAAATTTTGAGTGATCTTAGATCTTTTTCGGCTAAAAATTTGCTGAGTTACGGAATTCCAAAGTATAGAACGCCAAAAATCTCATTTCGAGAAAAACGGGATTAAAGATTTGCAATACCAACTAATTGTTGTATCTCTGGTTCTTCTTGGAAGTTATTCAGATAAGAATTGTTTCCAGTTCAGGGCACCTTGAAAATAAAAAATCAACAGGTTTTAAATTTTTAAAACTACCCCCCCCCCCCCTCTTAATTTTGAAAATACGAAAAATCGACAATATGGGCCCTTTTCTAAATAGGACAGTTTTTCTATTAAAAAACCATTTTTTTACAAGATTAATGATTAGGTACAATTTTATTGTGTCATTTGAAAAAAATTATAGATCCTAAATAGTCACAGAAATCACCATTGCCGTCAATAACCCTTTGTAATCTGTTATAGATGTAAGATTCAAACCATTTGCAAACTCACGGAGAAAAATGAAAATTCACATTTCGGATCGAGTATAAAACAATTTGAATGATTTCTATTATCTTAGGAGGAAATATTAAATTTCAGTTCTCTATCCCAAAAAGTTTAGTAACGATTTTCAATTAAGATCAATTCTAAATATCTTATGTTAGTAAACGCTAATATTCTCCTTTCAGCAACATTTTAGGTTCTATAATATAAATAATGATATTAAGGAAAGTATGAGTATAGTTAACTTAATTCTTTTTGTATAAAAACTTTTTTATATTTATTTGAACAATTTCAAGTTACATAGAATGCTTTAAAAAGTAAATTCCGACATAGAAAAATAAAAACCAGTTGTTTTATATTAAGCGTCCTAATTAAATTGAATAAAGTAACTGCTTTAAATGGTGCGTAATTTGTGAGGATAAGAATTTTAGTCTGCGTCGTACGTATAGAGGGGATTATCTTGAACAATGAGTAAAAAAAGTTGTTATATTCGCTGCCTAAAATGACCATTCATTCCACATACAATGACTAGGTATTCTTCTGTACTGCCGCGCCGGACTCCATAGTTTTCTTTATGTAACATATACACCAAATTCATATTACTCCGAGGCAAATTTATTCCGTCCCTTAATATACCTACTGCTGATGAGAAAGTAGAAGCTGAATTTAAAAATCCGTTTTAAGAAGAAGATATTTGTCCTTCTGGTTTAGTTAGTGAAAATAGAGAATACTTGTCTACTCGAGAGCTACTATTAAATAAAATAGAACAGGCGGGTGAGATGTATACTGGCGTGGTGTGGGATAAAGAAAAACCGGGGAGAGTGAAGCGGAGCTAGGGGGGCCATAAACAAGTGCTTACCGCAATCTAATGCTTCTGTAATGGCTTGAGCGGCAGTATCTACCCTAGTGGTCCCACTTGTTCCCGCGATTTAATTACTATGTAAATGTCGCATTCCCCAACCTGTCTGCCCTGCTGCTTTCTCCTCCATCCCCAATGCCCGGTTCGCTCATGCTGTCGCCCAATGTCCTTAATTACTTTATACGTTATTGTAGCCAACCAACCTCCGTCTTGTGTTCTGGTTCTCATTCCATCCTCCCCACAGCAGTAAATAGCGAGCTACTATACTCTATTCCATTCCATTTCATTCAGTCTGTTTGTTGGTTGAATGTTCTGTTGCTAGGATTCTTACTTCTATCGCCAGGATATATCATCCTGTTTACTCAAACATTTTAATGTTTGACGCACTTGCAAATCATCATTCAAAGTTTACACTTTTTTCAATTAATTTCAATCTCCAGAAAAGAAGCATTTTCTGGTTAATTCATATATTTATGTCAAGTCAAATTCATTGCAATTCAACTTTTCATTAATTTTCAAATGAGAATCTAAGGGAAAACTTTCCATTTTATTGTAAAACAATTTGCAAAATTTATTTTTTGAAGAGGTTCTTGTAAATAAAAACTCCGATTCTATATAATTAGACTTGGCAAAGATATAACCAAAAAATGGGACAAAATAAATGTTGTATATATAAGTTTAACTGTAAAGATTGTCCTGCAACATATATAATATATATTATTAGGTGAAACGAAACAATCATTGCTAACTCGCATAAATGAACATAAAAAAGTAAATGATAACTCTATAATTTACCGCCATCGTATTAATTGTAATCATGATTTTGATTGGGAAAACGCAAAAGTTTTGGAGAATGAATCAAATTTTATAAAACGATGACGTATATCCGAAATGATATATATTAAAACAAATATTTCTACTATTAATATAGTAAGGAAGATGTTTTCACTCTAAACAGAACTTTCTTTCCTCTTCTCAGACGTTTAGACTCTTGCTATAATGACAAAACAACAACACAACTTATGACAATAAGTTAACAGCCCTTCTATGATAAAACTGTGTTTACATTCCAGTTCATTAACTTTTTCTATATTTCTATATCCTTTTGACTATCTTGGACTAGCAGATTTAAATTTATCTTAGTTGACACTGAACTATAATGTATTGAAATGACTTCCTTTCTAATAAATTTTTCATTTTTAATCTTGACTTATGTGGAATGTATTATATTTTTAAAAAAAACCTTTTTAATTATACTGATGAGTTAGAACGCGATTTTTATGTTTTAATGAATTTGGTAGGATATTTCATATTTTCAATCATATTTATTAGTTTAGTGTAAAATATTGTTTTTAGACCTTTATAAACATTTAAGTGTTTTTTGTTTAAATAAATTTAACCTGATGAGGTCTAACAATTATTATTAAAAAATTACAAAATTTTTATCCAATAGTTTAAATATAAAATTGAAACAAACTGAATTACACACGAAAAAGTTTGATATGATTTCTGTTTATTTTTTAATGTCCTTTCTCAACTTTTTATACCCTTTGAGTTTTCTTGCTATATAGGAAGGGGGGAAACTGTGGAAAACCTCTTCTGAATGCAATCGGATTATCGATAGTCGAGATCTAGTGGTGCCTACTGGACCATTAATCGACAGTGCATACCATTGTCCCCCGACGTCAAACCTCCCGCTTGATAAATTACGATCACAGTGAAAACACAAGAGCGAGAACTAAGACGATCACCCGTCTAAGTACTAACCGTACTCAACAGGGCTTAACCTCTGTGATCGGAAGCCAAGGCACTTTACCGTCCTGGATGAATCATGAATTATGTAGTTTAACTATTTATAATGAAAACTTATTGTTTAATATATTCTCAGATGAAAATGATTCGTATAATTTTTTCGTGAAATTATACAAAAAACTGAAGCCAAATGGGTTCAGTTTTTTAAATTTTTCAAAAAAAACGTTCATGATTGGTCGATTAAGGATTTAATCATTGATTAACTTTTAATCGGTGTTGGTGAAACCGGCCCTAAGGGTTAATTCCACCAACCTTAATTAAAAGTTAATCAATGATTAAAGACAATTTAACGACTTATTATTGGTTGATTGAGGATTCAATCATTGATTAACTTTTAATCGGTATTGGTAAAACTGTCCCCAAGAAGAAACAAAATTTAAAATTGTTTTGCAAGAAATTTAAATTAAGTTTTAGCTTTTAAATATTTTTTATAAATACCTAGGTCCTAAAAAATGTAAACTCCTTAAGCAGTATCAACCCAATATTATAAAATACTTTAAATATTTTTACGTTGTAACTGTTAAATTCTCTGTAGAATGAATGATATTTTGTATGGTTTAAAAATGTAGAAATGTTAGTAGCATTGAAAACTGAATTTAGTTAAACAAGTCTGTGCAAGTTGAGCCAAAATAATTTCAGGTAAAGGAAACTTTGATAGCAAAAAGGTAGGTACGTATATACCTCTTTTTAAGTTAATTTTACCAAGCGTCGTTTTACCTGTTTGCAACAGTAGTACTCCGCTAACCAGCAATGAGCAATGTTCGATGCTCATAATTTGTAATACATTTTTGATACGTTAAATAATTATTTTACTGATTAAACCTGCAGCCTTATTTATCCCGTGTATAAATTCAACAGTAACAAATTAATTAATTTATATTAAATAAATAATAAGAATATTCTGTCTTTCAAATGATATTTTATTTGAATGACTTGACCACTGACTGACTTGTGCGATCTACGTCATTATCATTACATGCATAAATCACCTTTTATCTTCTCTGCCTTACGTAACGGTATAACAGCATATGTAAGTGACATTAGAGCTTCTGCTGGTTTTTGTACGTTCTACTAAAAGAAATTCGATCTACATATTTTGACGATTTACTTAAGGCTTTTTAAATTATCACTATGGCAGCAACAACTAAGAAATATCAGTAAAAATTCAGTCAATATAACTTCAGTATGATTTCCACTGAATGTGTCTCTTAGGTGTCATATTTATTAAATTCCAGAAGCTTTATTTTCTGCAAAAGAAAACAAGGATTTTTTGTAGTAAAAATAATTTGTGAAACTAATATTGGTACTGCAATCAATGAACAATCATGCTACTGTTCACTGTTACCTTTAATTATTGTCCAAGTATTTAAAAGTCGATATAAGGGTGAAGATGATTTTGAAATCTTAAAAAAAGAGACTAATGCAATTATGCTTCATCACAAGGGCCTTTTCTGTCGAGGATAGCAAAAAAGCTGCATCGATATGAAAAGTATATGATTTTCTTAAACCCTTTGTCCATGGTTTCTTTTAGGAATGTTATAAATTTGTCTGCAACAAACCCTACTGTACTGTAAAACTTTGGAAATAATTACAAAACTAAGATGCTCTATTTAATTTTTTGAATTTTTTAAATAGATGGCAAATTGGATCAGTAGTGCCTTTAATGATTTATATACACTAATATAGCTTTATACAGCATTTTGCTTTTTGAGCCACAGAAGAATAGTTTTCTGCAAAATCATAAATGACCTTCGCGTATTGTCGCCTTGCTGTTCCATTAACTCATCTGATGACAATAAATCTTCATAATTAACTATTGAATTTATAACCAAAAACAAGCATTTATTAACTATGTCAATTCAAATTAAAATATCTCTAAATACTAACACGAAAAATTCATTTGTAATGAGTACTCAATTTAGCAACACTGGGAATGTTGTTCACTGATTGTTGCCACGTGTGCTCCAGTAAATTGTTTAATAACGATTCCTGATCATTTATTTCCGAGCTAAAGAATTGTTAAAATTCTCGAATTGTCCGTTTGAATTCTCTTCTATACGATTTAACAATGTCCATCAGCATCCACCTCAAGAACGATGCATTGATCGCTTTGAATGTCATTGAGCATCTGAATCTGAAAATGTGAATAAAAGTCTCTTAATTTCATTTTTTCGTTATTTTCATTAGCTTGTATAACGTTAATTTAAAAATCCTGTTGTGACCTCTATTTATACCAGATGTTGAAGAGACTTTTTATCTTCAATTAAATCTTTCCACTCAGATGATTTGTTTTCCTTAAAAATTTCAACTTTATGATCATCTATAATGGTTTCGAAAATTTGGACATTTGTTGTCGTGTCCCTTGAATGTTCAATTACTCTTCCTGGTTTTAGTTTGTTTAGCCTACAATTAAATATTTTGGTAAAATCTACAGTATTAACATTAAATAGATATAATTCACATTTTTCAAATCCACTTTGCAATAGTTTTTTCCATCAAGGTAATCCATTGTTTTTTTAAGCACAGGAGCAAATTGATGTCTTTGGATTCCTATGGTTTTCAAAATCGTTACATATTTTGCGGTTCATTTTTTGCCACTGAGCTTTAAAGTAGCATTTGGATGTGACGCAATTAAAACTATTCCACTTTTTGAGCAGAAGTTCCTGAGGTGTAATGTGAGGTGAGATTTATGCCCATCAGTATACAAAAGTACGGGGCGTACTATATTATTTTCAGTCAACCGTGAGCTAAAATGATTGACTATTAGTAGCATTTGTGCAGCTCTTTTTGTGAGCGATATTCCGGTGAACAGAATAAACGTATTAGGAGACAGCTCATCTACTAATTCATCACAGCTTTGCCTGTGGTGAACACAGAAATGTTTTCTTCTTCATTATTTCCGACTTTCTGTGTTTCTCCATTTTCAATCAAAATTGTAATAAAATCTTTTTTCCCTGTCATTATATGACTATTATTATCATTTCCATATAAATTTTGCACACACTCATCATGTGTTTCTGTGGAAAGAGAATTTCCTTTTTTTCGCCTTAGTTGAAGCTAAAAATCCTCCGTCTTCAAGAAGTTATTTGACATTTCGAGGCATATGATTTAAGCACCTAAACGATTTCTTCTGCATCGTTTTTGTAGTCATCAAGATTGAAAACTTTTGTTTCAGCACATAAATGACGCTTTTGAAAGTTTCTTTTTTTTAAATTTTAAATAATTAAAATTAAGTGGGTGCATCTAGGAAATCATTTTGCCAAAAATTAGTGTCTCTTAATTTCTGACCATTGGTTTTTGACGGAGTTGATAAATGAGGTCCGGATCAACTAACTCGACCGACACTCGGTCGCACGCGTTAATACCAGGACGGAATTGAATACGTTCTTCGCAGTCAATTCTGGAAAACAACTCCAAACAATAACGCAGTTACATTCACCGTCGGCAATTGTAGTATAATCTGAACTTCTTCTAGCGGATATCATCCATTGGGTAGTTCCAATTGTGTCAAGTGATATAATATCAGATCTGATGAAGTTTGGTAAGATTTCAGGTCGATACTAGACGTTCCAAAGGCATCAATGGTGTTGGTTTTGGCATCAATGAGATATGGTTGGCATGATTAGCGTTCGGAATCGTGCAGAAAGGTATCTTCCCTAGTCCACCTTGATTTGTGGTAACTACTCCAATTATGTTGATGATATTTACAATATTCATTGGAATTTCGATCTTTCTAGGTTCAAAAAGTCGATTTTCAGGAAGTATACTCCAAGCGATGAACCACGTACGAGATCAAGACGAGTAATGTATACGTATTTAAGTATTAAATTTTATAATAAAAAATTTGTATCTCAATTTACATTTAAAAAAATAATCAATTACGGTTCGGGAAATGAAATAAATTGTTATATTGATTTACTAAATATATAGAATTATTTTCTTATATTACCATTTTAACTTAATAAAAATTCATTTAACACTAGGCTGAATTTTAGATTTATATTTTTGAACCTGAACCTCGAGTTGACCTCTCTATGGTCAGTTGCGGTCGTTGAAACTAAAGAGAGAAAAGCGTTTGATCTTTATCCCACCTTTATAAATCTGTCATATATAACATGTTTATATATCAAAATCGAAATTTAAAAAAATCTATGTAAAATAAATTCTCACATCAGCAACTATTAGTGCCTAATATTGAATTGAATCCGATTATGTCAAATACTTCTGATATTTCTATCGACCAATAAAAAAACAAAAATAAAAAGAATTGATTTGAAGACAGTTTACGTTGCATAGGAAACGGGTGAGGCAATATTTTACGTAGAATTGGGGTTGAGTGCGGGACACATCGACGTTTGATATTCGGTGGCGCCACCGTGTTAAGATTTACGAGGCAGATATGTGATCACAAAATGGCTGATACTAAATCAAATAAGGTGCATCGGAAAACATCCTACATTATTATTGGGACTTTTATTGGATTGGAGGCAATAAAGCAATCAAGGGACGTTGGTTTATAGACAAGAAATTTTTTTCATTTTTTCTGATGATACACAAAACGACATCGACATGTTTATTAATATTTTTTAAACTTCATATTATCTTCATATTTCCTATGCGCTCAAACTCAAAAGAACTAGTTTTTAATATTTGAAATCAATCACATTTTTCTTATTGATAATGAATTTCAATAAAATTATTGGCCGTTACAAAGACTATAGAAATTTCCAGAAAATTTCGAAATGAAGGTAAAGAATATTCTCATCTGCTATCGACATGCACTAAAACATATCCCAACTATTAGGAAAATTTCATAGGAATTCATGATATCAACACATAGGACATCATGGAGAAAAATTAAAAATTACACATCAATCGAACGTAAAACTGCAATCGCCTTAAAATTTCATCAAGCTGCAAAAATAGAAGAAAGAATGTTTTATTTTCAAGATATCATTCATTAAGAAAGTGAAAATATGTATAAATTTTAGATAGATTAAACGGTTTTCAAAATTAGTAATTCCTAATTATTACTGCGAGTAAATGTACATAAAAAGAAAAAGAGAAAATTGTGGAACATGAATGTGCAGATATACGTCGAATGGAGGCGTTTGATATGTGACGTAGCTTTGTTCAAGTTATACGTTATCTACCTGAAACTCGGGTGCCATCTATTAGGTTTTATCGGTTTTATCATAAAAACTGCAATAACATGAAATGTTTTCCAATTTCCCGCTTTTGATGCAGTCAGTGTAGTTTACATACACACGTATTTGTATTATATATGTTTATACAATTTTTTCTTGTTTGTTAGATCGCGTTTGGTGATTCTTATGGATTTTTTGATGCTATAAAATCGAGTTCAAAAACAAAATTGCTTCAACACATGGTTTTTTTTAATTTAAGATTGAAAATTCACGAACATTCACTCAACTATTCTGAAAGTTAATTAGCGAATTATTGTAAAAATTAGGAATCAGAACTAAATAAACGTTTCTTAAATTCAACAAAATTTTTTGATTAAAAACTTTTATTTTATTGAATGCCAAAAATCAATTCTAATGTGATTGGGTTATAGAAACCTTATAGAAACCCCCGAGTAACAAGTTCGAAATCAATTGCATTAGAATTTTAAAAGTTTTTTGTACCTTTTCCAAACCTTATTTGAAAAAAAATCCTTAGTATCAAAGGGTTAATATGCGGCCAAAACACCCCCGTTTCGCCTAAAATCGTCAAAAATATAATTCTTATTTGTAAAAATGTACATTTCAATTATTTAAATCAAAATCCCAAATGGCCCAAATATAGGCCGTAGGGGCCCTCCTTCTTTTGTACTTGGGGCGTTTCATATGAAAACGACATATGATGTCTTAGATTTTTCTCATATTATGAAAACTGAGAGTGATTAGGGTCCTAATGAAGTATACCATA